AGTGTTTTTACTGAAATACGTGTGTTTATTTGTGAAGCATGATGGGACCACACACCCCAGCGCCACTTGAGGTTATGGCACATTTTTGCTGATGTTGGGTCATAGGTAACATTAACATGAAGAGTTTATACAGAGGCTGCTCAGATGTGGTGCTATAATGTGTGTTCTGGTGACTTGACTACACGTGGTCACCTGGGACGCCTCTGTTCACACGTTGTGTTTTGTGTTCCCCAAAACGGTTTTTAATCCGAAGCCAGGTCCGCTCATGTTTCTCTAAAAATTATACAATTCAGTCAGACATCTTGATTACATCGTTATTATGACATTAGCGTGTTTCAGAGCCATTTGAGATACACTTTAGTTATTTCTTGATAAGCTTTCCGTACTTGCCGCCGTACACGTCACATCACCGTATAAGTCGCATCAGTCCAAATATGTCTAATAAAGTGGAAAAATATATAAATAAGTCACTTGGCCGTATAAGTCGCATCCATTATGCGTCACCGCTGACAACCAGAAAATGTGGGTCGGTGTTGTGCCAAAAATCGACTGGCTGCCAAATGACGGCCGTGGGAGCATGCACGAGAGGTCTTTAACAAGATTAGCAAAAACAATTGTTTTTTTTTTTTATTAAAGCAAAAGTGTGTCTCAGTTTAAATTTTCATTAATAAATGCAGTTTAATGGTCAAATCAACTGCATTTCAAAAATCAGTTCATGGCTGATGGAGCACGCAGAGGGAGGACTCGCTGTGCATTTCTTCAAAATTTAACAAGATAACCACCTAAAAACAATTATTGGTTTGCTCGATATTATACTAAAGGTGTGTCTCAGTTGGAACTTTTCCTTAATAAATGCACTTTAATGGTCAAATCAGCTGCATTTCACCTGGGCGGCGCAGCAAAATGCAGCTGATTTGACATTTGCTCGAGGAGTTCTGGAGCGAGATGAAGGTGGCTTGGTGTGGCAAGCCAAATGTCTCATTAATAGCCACTTTTACCTATTAATGAGAAACTTGGCTTGCCAGATTAGTTGAGAGCCCTCTAGTGGCTGAAAATGGTAGTGTTCAATATTTTCCATGTCAGAATGAATGAAATCGTCAGATCTCAGTCAAAAATTGGGTTATAAATATGGGGGAAAACACAAGTTGCTTCACTGTATAAGTCGTAGGGCATGCAAATTTATGCAAAAAGGTGTGACTTATATAGCAAATAGTATGGTAATACCAAACAGATGCAATATAAAAAAAAAAGCCAGGGGCAATGGAAGATACACAGCCTTTTTTTCCATGTTATTCCACTCCCAAGGCTGACAAATATACATATATGGCGACAGCCTTCTTGGATTTTTCATAACAACCCATTTTTTTAAAAGGAAACTTTCTTACTCATAAATGATAAGATGGTTTCTGGATATTTTACCTGGATTATTGAGCGTGAGTTTTGATGTTTTAAACCACTTTGGCCATGGCTGTCTCATAGGAGTTGACAGGGGAGAGGGTGGACTCCAGAAACCATCATACCATCAAACTGGCTGACCCACTATGTGAGTGTGCTGTCCAGTCGACTCCTCCCAAGCTGCCACAGCCAAAGTGGTTCAGGATTGGGGAGAGGTCAGCCCCAGAAACCATCTTATCACCAGCAAACTGGTTGGTCCACTGTAGGAGTGTACTGCTTTGTGGGGAAAACAGTTTGTGACTCCTCAGACTGATGAACCCCTTCGGATGGAGGGTGAAACATCTCTCAACAAAAAAAAGAAATGGCCCAGATGACCGGACTGAACATTGTTCAACTGATTACTATCTCTATCCATCAATGCAGACCAAGTTTTATGTGTGGTGCATGTGAACTAAAAGAAATGTACATTCATTTTCCAAACCTGCATCGTCCATAGGTTCAGTCCAGCCTGGCCCCCACACACACACAACACAGAAGCATTTTCATACTTTCATTCTGAATTTAGAAACCCCCCTAAACCTAATAATTTTGTTTTTGGACTGTGCGAGGACATCTGAGTATCTGATAGAAAATCCCCCTTCAAATGTCACAATGACAGTCCCCCAGGTGACCCTGGAGCTAAACCAGAGGCTTTTTTGCTACTTCTTGCATGTAATCCATGCATAAAACAACAGACTATTATTATTTAAATATAATAATCCAGGGGCATTTTGGTGAAAGAAATTAAAAGTGGGTAGGATTTTGGATTAAAATTAATTTTGAAGCATGAACCCCATTGATTCAATTCTTGTGCCAGGGAGAATTTTGGTCAAGGTTTATGGATGATTTTAACTTCTATGGCTGGGAATGTTAACTGCCCATGAACCATGTGTTTGAGTTAGCAGAGAGCTGAGTGAGGAGCGGATTTGATACTGCGTGTGCAGCTGGTAATTCCAAGGTGGCCTCCGAGTCTGTAACTTGAATTCGAGGTCATTGTGACCTGGTAGTGATAAGCGTGTTTAAAAACACTTCTCGCACACTGTCTGGTGCAGATCCTCGTGACCGGGCTTCAATGAAACAAGCCTGTTGTGAACTCTGCCCTTGCAAGTAAAACTGGGTTAAAAAATATTTTCCTGTCGTCATGTGTGGCTCCTTTAATTCAATTCAAAAATACTTAATTAATCCCAAATGGAAATTAAGTATTGTCGCAGCTCATCATCCTGGTTTCATTCAAGAGTTGTTATAGATGCTGAGAACTGTGGGCAGGAAGGATCTCCTGAAGAATGGCCACAGATACCGATCCGTCCACCTGGATCCAGCTTGCTGTCAGATACGGCGGGCCTCTCAGACCTCCTGTGCAGCAGGACTGCCTGAAAGCTCCTCGTCGCCACGGACAGAAAACTGAAGGTGCCGGGGTGTGATCCCGGTCCTCCCGTTGTCACGAGCCGAGTTTCCCACCAGCTCCATAATCTCGACAATCAAGTACTCGAGCACCGCAGCCAAGTTGACGGGAATTCATCCACGGCACCTCCTTTTTTAACTCATTTAGGATTTGGGGCTGTAGTTGAAGTAATTGAGCTTTTGAGATGTTAATCGGCAGCTACTGGATGTTAAGAAATAAAAAAAAACCACCTTGTTGCCATGATTACAAGTGCCCAAAAGTAAAAAGGTTTCAGTAAAAATCATTCCAGCTGCACAACATCCGAAACCAGAGGAAATAATCATCAAAAAAGACTCAGAATGAAAGTAACAGAGCTACTCCAACATGCAGCTACCACGAGTGGCTCAATTATAAAACTTAATTTAAGTAAAATAATGCGAGGATATTTTAATCCAACATCTCGTATTATAAATTTTAACTCTTGACGTCAAATTCTGCCAACTGTTTGGGGAATTGAGAGACTGAATGGTTTTGTCATAATTTATACATTTGACACCTTGAGAATAAAAATGTGTGGTTACATGTCAAGTGCTTGCTATTAAAACCATCAGAATCAAAGAAAAAAAACTATATTTGACATTCAACTCATCAAAGATGAATTCCTTTAAAGATTAAATTTACAGTAAAAATTGTGTTTCACTTCCTAAATTCTGCAAGACAAGATGGCATGAGATTAAAGACTTGGTGGACATGCAATGCAGGAACACAACTGCAGATTATGCATTATATTAAAAGTAGGAATAAATATTTATTATACATTATTGATCCAATTAGTTCCCAGTCTGTGTGGTCCAAGTCTGCAGTGTTCTCTGAGAGCAGCATGTGGAGAGGACCCACCACATTTCAGATGAAAACCTCTGTTTAGCAGCACTCAAACCTACCACAGAGCCTCGTTCATTCATGAAGGATCTGTTGACCTCAACCTACCTCACTGTCACCACAACCATTTGTCAAATTATTTTGCTTCTAAATCTTGGTGGCTTCCTGTGCCACTAAGATTTTGAACAAAACATCTGGGGTTCTGCAGGAAGAGCGTAAATTAAAGGGTGTCGTGAGAAACCAAATGTATCTCATACAAAAAGCAAATATAAAGTCCTTTGGGCTTTTGTGATGAAATATGGAGTTCTAATTTTATTTTAAGCACATTAGGAAGCAGCTGAAGCAGAGAACGGAGGAGATAAGGTTTGTTCCTTCAAAGAACTCAGAGTTTTAACAAAAGACTGTAGGCTGGATTCACCGTAGGCGAACCATCGCTCAGACATCTGTTTGTGGTCTGGCTTCAGTTGTTACAGGACTCAGGTCATCAGTAAAAATCAGGCATAGCCGCAGAAGATGAGCAACACCTGCTGTTCTTGAGCTGTGGATAACTGGTTAGTGACGAGCAGAAGGTTGTCCAGGAACTGGAATCCTCACATAGTTAACGACAGACCACACCTGATGAAAGCAAGAGACACAAATCAATTATACCATCATAAAACTGAAATAAAAGACAAATCAGGTCCTTTGACAGTGGGATTCCTAGGTTTGCTTGTCATAATCACGTTCCCCACAGCTGACAATGATCCATACAAGCCACTCTTCAACACCTGCACCTGGTACTGTTGACTACTCTGCACATTACTTGAGGACTTGGCAGTGACTCATCCAACACTGGAACTTTAAGAAGCCCTATGCCTTTCTCCTCCGTGTCCTTCCACGACCTGTACGCTTCCTGTGATCTCACCAGTCATCAGCTCTGCTACTGCAAACCAAATATCAGCCTGGATCAACTTCATACCATAATCACCCTGTCACTCTCTCCAACATTACCTATCTCTTGGATCAAACAAGAAATTTTAATTTAAATTGTCCAAATTTTGGACAATTTCGGCGGGGCCAATTAAAAAGCCAAGTATACGGCCCGCGGGCCGGGGTTTGCCCATGCCTGGTCTAAAACAATCAATCATCATGTATAGCAATCAAATGTTTTAGGCCAGATGGCCAACTTGCTACTCACAGAAACAGCCTGAGGACACCAAGGCCAAAATGATGCTTCATCCTCAACATTTGGATATAAAAGTTTAAAGTCTAAAACCCCATTTAGACTGGTCAAACAACCTCGAGTTCTCCGGAGTGACTGCAGAGCTCACGTGGAGGATGGTGGATTGTGTCTGCAGTGCCCCTCAGCCTCCTCCACTTCCTTCCAGTCCACTGGTGTCAGATTTGTTTTCTCTTCTGTCAGAGCATGGTGTGTTAACTGGTTTCTGGCCTTAGGCTGCCAGGAAGGAAGGGACTGACCACAAACTCTCCTGCGGTTCATCACACATCCTGCAGAATCTGCAACCAGGTGTGTGTTATGGAGACAGAGTGATGTAACAGAGTCATCTAATAACTCAGTGCTTAAATCATGAAATCCTCACTGTGTTGAAGTTCCCGTTCTGGAAGGAACGATACAACGCCAACAAGAAATCCACAACTTTACAGTTTTCTGTTCATTTGCGATGTTGTAAAACATGTTATAATTAGGTCCATCAAACAAAGGGCGATTTCAGTACAGCAAGCCTTTTCATCATTCTGACAAAGTCAGCGGTTCTAAAAATAATTTCACGAGTCAGCATCTGTTTGCACCAGCATGAAGGTGATAAATAATAAAACCACGATAAACAGGCAGACAAAGGAGTCCAGCTGTTCAGAGGGCAACGATGACACCGGTTCATCTTCTCACCCACGCCTAACATCCGCCTAAGGTAACATTTAAGCATGCATGGGTACACGTCCAAGCTCCAAACACATTTCACCCTGAAACAAAAGTTGGACACTTAAAGGAAACCAGAAATCCAAACATCTGGAGTTCTTTTTTATTCCCTCAACGTTCAGTGGAGTTGTGAGACTATAAATATTAGCCGGCATCTGCTGGACCTTCAGAAGACCTTTACCGGGCAGTCCTGTTGGATTTAAAACATTAAAAGCTCTAAGTTTGAACGCAGAGTAAGAGTTTTTCACAATGTCACATCCGCTAAATGATGTTCAAGGCTCGTGTTTGTGGAAGATGTTTGGTCTCTCCTCATTCGTCATGCTTCTGTTGTGCAGCGGCTCCTCAGAAGCTTCGGTTTACCACGAAAAAGGTAAGAACGACCATGTTTTGCTGCACCACTACCATTTAAAAGCATGTAAAGCCTGCTGAAGGGACGTTGTTTTCCACCCGCTCAGCACTTCCAAAATGAAACCAGAACCTTCCTGTCCTCCGTACTCGGACTCTGCTTGAGTCTCCTGTGGGGTTTTCACAGCAGACCAGCGTGTTCCCATTGATCTCTTTCTCAAGGTGACAAACCCCACGAGGGCTGCCTCCCATGACCTCAGGTATGGGAGGAGAACTAGATTTAGCCGTTAATGTGTTTGACCTCGTCCAGCGAAGCTTTTAGGTGTTTCAACAAGAGGACGAACATTTATAGCAAAGTTTGGACGACCTGAAGAAATGTGTTTTTACCCAACGTGGTCATACCCGTGGAAAATATGAACCGACAACAGTTACCTACCCTCGCTTGGGATTTTCTTCTGTTTTTGCATTTTTGTCACTTAAATGCTTAAGATCAGCAAACAAATGTTAAAATCAGACAAATTAACCTGAATAAACACATTACACGGTTTTTAAATGACAATGGGGCCAAGATGGTGTAGAGCCAGGGAAGCCAACCTGGGACCTTAAAGTCCCAGGTTCGATCCCCTCACTTTGCACATCTCGTGGTGTCTCTGAGCAGCACACCCTATCCCCAAATGCTCCCCGGGTGCTATCAATAGCTACCCACTGCACCACCCGGTGGTGGATGGGTTAAACGCAGAGAGCCAATTTCACCATTGCATGGGAACATGCAATGATGACAATATATAACACATTATTATTATTATTATTGGGGGGAGGGGGGGCTTTTCAAACACAATCTGACCCCATACAAGAAGCAACTGTCCCTCTGGTCAAATCAGAAATGAACTGGAAAGCCAAGTTAGTCAAGAAATCCAATAAAGTATGCTAAAATTCAAAAAGGCTAAAACTCAATGA